TAATTATTAAAATTTTATTATAAAAATTAATTTTAAAAAAATTAACACAGGCAAATTTGCCTGTGTTACAATCTAAGAGATAGGTTTGTATTGGTATAAAAAAAAATATAAGTAAAATTACATTTCTAATATTTTTAATTAATGCCTCAAAACAGATTTAGAATACTATTTTTTATCTTTTTGTGATTTCTTAACTTTAACCTAATTTGTGTAATAATTCCAATTAGTTAATTTATATGAAAAAGTTACATAAGTACATGGTTTTAGATGACTCCCGAATTGGTAAGTATTTATATAAATTGATAGATGTCCGTACTTATACTCTTGAGGTGTAAATCAATGCTTTGCTTTATTTTAACATACATTAATCCCCTCTGTTACACTTTGGATAATAACTACACTAGGTAAATGCATAGCATTGTATGTCCGAAGTGAGTATTTGATTATATATGAAAATGCTTATAGTAAAAACAGGCTTAGAGATGATATTCTATATAGTCCCTAAGCTTGTTTTTGCTATAACTGTCCTCATATACTAATTGATTATCGATCACTGTAACGTTATTGGTCATATATCACATTAAGTAACCGGACCGACCGACCTTTTTTTCACTTTGCATAGATATATGGTGTCCTCCGCTACGTTCCAGACAAATAATATTTAACCTCAATATACGTGAGTATAATTCTCTATAAACACAAAATTCTTAGAATTAAAGATGTGATTATAGAAAGGTTTGATTATATATATATATATTTCTTATAATTTTAATTACAAATCAATCTAAGTATAAATATAATTATACATACGTATATATAGAAAATAACTACGTGTACAGTATATATAGTATCAAAAAAACCCAGTTATATGTATAAATTTGCAAACATTCATATATATATATGTACAATATACTATTGTAAACTAACTTATCAATTAAAAAATAATAGTTTTTAAAAATTTAACAATTTAAAAATTTGATTAAAAAATAGAGAATTTCTATTTGTACCTGGTGGGTACATACCCGGATATAAGAAAAAAAAACAAAAAATCATTAATATCTTAAAATTTTATTAAGAAAACTGATGTAGGTGCTTTAAGTAAAAATGTTCAGCACCTAATTTTACTTATAAATACACCTTTAATTTATCTTAACTTACCCTAACCTAATATGTTATATATTTTTCTTATACCGGGTATCATACCCTATGGGTATTTTTAGAAATTTTCTAAAAAATATAATTACTAATTAAAGTTTAGAAATATATCTAAATAGGTTAATAATTCTGATTAAAAGATTAAAACATGTAATACAATATTAAACTGGAATTTACTTTTATAATATAATTTAAAATCTAAAAATATTAGGCTAGATCAAATAAACGAATGCTAACTCTATTAATTCTAAGACAAATTTATGTAAAAAGAAGATCATATGTTACATCATGTAGATAGAGATAAACACAGATACATTATTGTGAGAAAAGTTACGCAATAATATCTGATATACACGCGATCTACGTGAACATATGATATTTAATATGCATGTGATGACCAATTACATTAGAACCTTGATCAACAACGTCTTTGTAATGTATACTAACCGAGGAAACCGATTTTCACATCCTTCCGGAACACCTTGGCGACCAGTAACGATTCGACCGCCAGTACCAACCAACCCGAATTTCGTAAATGCTTTTCCAAGCTATGAAAGTGACAGTGATAGCGATAGACCAAGGCCTTATAATGTAATATTTGATAGTTCGTCTACTTCACCAGCATTAAGTTCATCGAGTCCCTCGCCACAAGAAACGCCAGAAATACAAATACCTGGAATAAATGATTCACCGATTGCGAATATAGAAGAATTAGAAGATTCAACAGGTATATCTTAAGTAGCTTTAGTTAGAACCTAAATAATGAGCGCACTATAACCGTAAAGCTAACAAATCACAATGAAATTACGAAGGCATTTATCTAGAGCCAATTAACATAGAAACATCAGGTATGGATCAAGATAATCAAATAACAGTCAATACTTTAGAAGATCAGGACGATTATTGCGATGATGAGAATGAAAATGTTCATCCAAATCAAGATCAAGAAGAGAATGGTATACAATAAACATTTATAATGAAGGATAGTTGAAGACATTTATATTTATAATTTCTAGTAATATAGATCCTTTGAAGCAAAACCTTGGCTTATTACGCAAAGCTGTGCGACAATTGGAAGATGACGAGTGGCAATTTATACAGACCAGTAATGAATTTACGAAATTCTAGAGTAAGGACACTTTGATCTGATTTGCATAGTAAATAAAATGGAATGGGAAGTAGTTTAATGTTAATGTTATGATGGTCAATTTGTAGTTATAATGATCACTACAGTGAAGGATGTTGAGTTTCATTTCCTAGGAGAAAAAGAAAATTATTTTATTAATTCGAGCAGAATCAAAGGAATTAATAGAATGAATAATATGAACCAATGAAAAGTAAATAAAATAGCGAAATAAATAACGAAATAAATAAATAAAATAGCGGAATAAATAAATCAAATGGCGAAATAAATAAAATTAACGAAATAAATAAATAAAATAACTGAATAAACGAAATAATAAACTAAATAAACGCGATAAACGAAATAATACGGGCCTCAACAACATTAAAGATTCACCATGAATTATTTTAATTTTGCCAGACGTAAAAGCGAAATTCAAACAAATTTATTGATTTAAAATAATATAGAAAAAAAAGAATTTTTTTATTAATCAGTAAATAAATCATTAAAGATGAAATCATTAACGATACTGCGGATCGCCAAATCAATAAAATCATTGCCATGTGGCGCATTGATGACATATCGGGAGAAACGAAAAAATATATATATTTATATCTAATCTGATGTTAATAGAGCACCTGCATCACACAATAGGACCAAAAGACGCACCTATCACCATATATTACAGGATAGAAAGTCTTAAAAAACATTTCTAACATGTTTATGGAAGCGCAGAATGGAATTTATTAATTTATAGAAAAGAAGTTATAAAATGGGTTATTATTTGTTTTTATCGTCAGAATCACAAGAATTTAGAAATTATTAAGGGTAAAAATTTGATCACTTTTTTTTCGGGTTATCAGCATGTTTTTGGAAGATTGATTGTCGAGGGGATCTTACAAATGGTCCCTATTTTGTGTGTAATTAATCGTGTGACAAAGTGACAGATTGATGAAATTCGTGAATATTTGGAATATTTGAAATTATTTTGTTTTTTGGCATGTTTTGAATATTGTGGAGGTGTTAAAATTAATGTTAACTATTATGTATAATATGATAGCTGTTAGATTACTGACATAGGTATTACGCATCATTGCAGACTTTATCTTTCATCAAAGTAATTCGGCGATTTATCATAAACAACACAATATCAATATTACAATAAAATAAACAATGCAACTTTCGCACAACATATCAGCGTTGTGCTTCTTATTCAGAGCCACGGATCTGCATGAATCTATATATTTAAAAAATTTTCTGTCTCAGTTCCTTCTCAGGTCCCTGTGGAATTCATGCACCGACTCCTGCTGTGTTCATAAACTACTAGATACGCTACTATCATCTGTTTTATATTAACTTTATATTGGATTTTTTATGTTGTGTAACTCTACATTCTTCCTTTTGTGGTATGGTAGCGTTGATTTAAATGACGTAACAGATTCGTTTGTGCCATTAGCTGTTAGAGTTTCTGTGTGCCCTTTTGATCAATTTTTTTTTTCCAGAGTCAGTGCAGACCCCCAAACTTTCTTTGCATTTCTCCTTTGAGAAAAAGGAAAACAAACCACTTTTATTTGATCCTACTTACTCTTACCTGTGTCTCTTGAGTCTTTGCCAGCTTGCCTTCAATCTAATCTACTGTAAGTAATAGTTCCACTACAATTTTTCCCTTTTCACATCCGAAATCTAGCTAGCTCTCTATTCCTTATTTTGTCTGTTTCTTTTCAAACTACCGCATTTGAAAGAAAAAAAAAAAGGGGAAAGGAGAAAATTTTTTTCATATATATATTTATTTATTTATAACTTTACTTTCATTTATCAACGATAAAATATGTACCTTATTCTTTTGTTTCTCTTTTCCGTTTTTCTTAACCTCCGCTGTGTATCACAACAGCTGCTTACCTTTCTCGCTTTATATAAACTATTACCGAACCAATCTCGCTCATTTATTTAGTTAATTCCTCTGTACGGGACAAAAAGAAGAGTCAAGAGGAAAAATAACGTCAAAATTTTAGTGCTAGTGTGAAAAACTTTTAATTTCCTGGAGCGTAGTCAAATTCCCAATGTCGAATATATACAATCATAGGCAGATTGTTCCTGGCGGAACCAGCGGTCCAAGTCGTTTCAACGAGCTTTTAGAAGCTTTAAAAAATGAATATGAAAACCTCAGTCAAGAGGCTATGACTTATAAAATACAACGCGAAGAATTTGAACATAAAGGTTTGCGATTCTATTTCCTTTATTATCTTCCCCTTCTCTAAACTTAATTTTTCTTTATGATTCTTATAATTTAATTTATTATTAAATTATTCGAATTAAATGAAATTCGTTCAATTTCGATTTGATGTGTTCATTCAATTTCTTCTGTTATCTTACTATTGGTTAATTTATTTCTGTATTCACTGCTTGTATTTACTTATTTATACTGCGTTATGATATATTCGATGACGTTCCGTTGTCGCACTGTACCACAATGCTCGATCGATAAATGTTAAAATTATTCTTGATTCTTGTGTATATCTTCATCTTACTCTTTTTTTTTTCTATCTTCTTTACTTATAGTTCAACAACAATCTGAGGAGGTTGCTCTTATTCGTCAGGGTTTATATGAATTACAAGCTACACATAAAGGAATAAAGCAACAGTAAGCTTCATCATCTTATTTTTATTTTATTTTATTTTATTTTATTTTGTGATTTATTTATTTTCTTTAAATTTAATTATTTATTCATTAAATTATTTGATTTTTCCCTTGATGTTTCATTATACTATTCTATCCTTTTTAATTTAAGGTATGATAACGATCTGCGCAATCTTCAGCGTGAAATTGACCAACAAAGGTTGCATCCTCATCATTCAACAAGTACTCATCCTCCCCCTCCTCCATCACATCCCCAACCTCCCCCACCGACCATTGGACAGGGTCAAAGCAACTTATTTGGTGGCATCATTAGTGGTAATGGTGCTCCCGGTCTCGCCGCTCCTCCTCAAATGTCTATGGATCCAACACAACAACCAACAAATCAACCTGGTCATCCGGGAAACTATCCTGGCCCAAGTGGCCCTCCTCAGAGTGTCCCACAAGCTGGAGGTAGCTCCGCTCACTCTCCATATCTTAATGGTGGTGGTGGCCCTCCAGGTACTCTATCACAACCTCATACTCCTAAACGACCTCGTATAGAGGATGGCGTTTCATCTACTGGCCCTCAAAATCCCCTTGGTATGACACCTAGCTCTCAATCTCAACCTGGTTTGTACGGTAATAATAGCATTCCTCCGCCTCAGTCTGGTCAGGTTCAACCTATATCTCAAGGTTATATTCCTCCTGTTGGTCCAAGTAGTAAACCTAATAGCAAAATGACAAAGGTACCTTAAACCATTAAGTGGTTATTTTATATTTTATCTATCTTTATTTTATTGATTTTTTTATATTATCATGATTTCAGCCTGTAACTTTAATACCACAGATTCCTCCAAGTATTGGTCCTGATCAACAACCTTCTGGTGTCCCTACCAATGGTAATACACAAGCGGTTTCCTCAAATAATAAACGAAAAAGTAATCAAAATATGGGTGCTCAACTACCAGGAACTCGTGCTCCAATAAAGCAAGGATCACTTAGTGGTAATAATCAAACATTAGGTGATATGGATCCTGATACTGTCCCAGCTCAACTAAAAAAAGAAGGTGGTGATTGGTTTGCAATGTATGTTTTTTTTTCTTTTTTAAATAAATTAAATTAAATTTATTATTTACATTATTAGCATTATTTTTATTTATATTATTTACACTATTCATATTCTATTATTTACATTATTTAAATTGTTTAAAAAAAGCTTTAATCCTAAAGTACAACGAGCACTTGACGTTGATCTTTTCCATACATTGGAACATAATAGGTAACCTAGTTATATTTTTGTGTTATGATCATATTATATCTTTATTTACTTTATTCCTTACTTACTTACTTTATTTATTTTATAATTTATTTATTTATAATTTTTTTAGTGTTGTATGTTGTGTCAAATTTAGTTCTGATGGAAAATATCTAGCCACTGGTTGTAATCGAAGTGCTCAAATTTATGATGTTGTAAATGGTCAAAAATTATTGTAAGCTTCCATTCATTTTATTTATTTATTTTTTATCAACTATAATTTAATGCAAACTTTTTCAATTTATAAAGCGTTCTTGATGATAATAATGTGGACAAAACTGGTGATTTATATATCAGGAGTGTATGCTTCAGTCCTGATGGAAAATATTTAGCCACAGGTGCTGAAGATAAACAAATTAGGGTAAGCAATTAATATATGGGTAATTGATAAATGCTAAATTCTTGATATACTTATGATTTTTATTACCTACCTTTTTTTTCTTCTAGATTTGGGATATTCAAAAACAAACTATTAGATCATTTTTCCCAGGTCATGAACAAGATATTTATTCACTTGACTTTTCACGTGATGGTCGTTTAATCGTGTCTGGTTCTGGCGATAAAACTGCTCGAGTTTGGGATATGGTTACTGGTGATTTGTTGTATAAACTCTCAATTGATGAACCGAGTCAAAAGGATGCTGGTGTAACCAGTGTAGCTATTAGTCCCGATGGTTATTACGTTGCAGCAGGATCATTAGATAAAATAGTACGCGTCTGGGACGCACGAACAGGTTATCTTCTTGAACGTTTGGAAGGTCATAAAGATAGTGTTTATTCTGTTGCATTTGCTCCTGATGGTAAAACATTAGTTTCTGGAAGTTTGGATAAGACTTTGAAATTATGGGATATGAGTAATCCAGGAAGAAATACTGGTGTTGGATCTAGTCAAAAGAATTCTGCAAAGATGACTTTCAACGGACACAAAGTATATTTTCACCATTATTTTGTTTTTTTGGAATTTTGTAAATTATTCACTATTAACATTTTCTTTGGTCAATAGGACTTCGTTTTATCCGTTGCAGTCTCTCCTGATGGTCGTTGGGTAGTTTCAGGTTCTAAGGATCGTGGTGTACAATTTTGGGACCCAATTAACGCACAAACTCAATTTATGTTACAAGGTCATAAAAATTCAGGTATATAAATATATATATTAAACTAAATGTTCGTGATTTCATAAACTTTTTACTTATTATTTTACTATTTTAGTAATTTCGGTAGCCTTAAGTCCGGCCTTATCCGGCCCAACTGGCAAACTTTTTGCCACTGGGTCTGGTGATTGTCGAGCGCGTATATGGCGATATTATGACGATCAATAAGAATATATGACAAATTTAACTAATTTTTTTTTTTTTTTTTTTTTAGCAATTTATTTGTTTCTTTTTTGCATTATTTCTTAGTTTTTATTTGCGGAGTTTAAGTATAGAAAGTAATTGAGATAGTGGACATCATTCTAGGGTGATGGTTGGATTTAAACAATGATAAATAGGTGTATAAGCACGTTCAGATAGTATGATGACAAGGTAGTTTCTATACTTTATATTTTATTTTATTTTTATTTTTTTTGTAGATGCTTCATGTTTTTTTGGATTGTGAAGAATAAGCTTTTTTTTACTCCGATTATCTATAAGTTTTTTCATCCTTTGTACAAATGTTTTCTTTTCGAACAACGTTACAAACTTGGTTTGCGGAAAAATATAAATATTTTTTACTTTATTAATAATGATTTCAACGTTGTGACCAACGACTAAAAGTTATTAGAAATGAATTTAATTCTACTTGTTTTACTGTATTAAACATAAATGTTTTTAAATAATATATAATTAGTAAAAAAAAATTTTTTTAAGTGATGTGGCACGTATTTTAGACAGAAATTTCGAAAGTACGTGGTATGATACCAATAATTTTATATTCGATAATAATTAAAATTTTAAAAAAAATCGTGAACAAGTTAGTAATCAGGATAGGGTGGGAATAACTAGAAATATAAAGTTATATAAAAATAAAGACTAGTAATAAATCAAATGCAACTATACAGAATATAAAAAAAAACTTGTTCAAAAAGATATTCGAGACTTAAACTAACCCGTAAAATAAAAAAAAAAAAAAATACATGATGATACTACATCATTTATTCGCCATCACATAGGGTGACAATTTAGCACTTTATTAGTCATTAGTAAATTGTCACCCTGCGTGATGTCGAATTAATGACGTCGAAAAAATTCCCTCCGAGAAAATTTGTCTGATTGGCTGATGCAAATCAATTGCCCGGGTAACTTATTTTATACACTTTTAAAGTACTTTTTTGTAGCACAACGTTTTACTGGTCGTAAAAACCATTCATAGCTTTATAATAGTGTTAATATTTACTGTACAAAAGAATCGAAAAAAGATTGTATTTTTCACCTATTTTGTTTAAAAGACAAAAATGCATTTAACTAATAGCATTACAGAACTTTGTATAATTACTATTTGCAAGAGATGGTCATCTAAATGAAGAGTAACTGAAAATGTTATTTTCAAAGTCAAACTAATAAAACTATCAAATTATGTTTAAATCTAAATAATACAACTGTTATAACAAAATTATAAAAAGTATTATTAAATTTTAGCATATGTATTAAATCAGTTTTATAATAAGTTAGAAACTTTTAAAATTTTATGAATATTGTTACTATTAATTTAATTTATTACAAATTTTAGAAGTAATTACAAACATTCTTTATTAAAAAGAAAATAAATTACTATTAACAATTTGAAACTTTAAAAAATTTTGTATAATTTTTTTTTTTTTTAATATTAACAGTGAGGTTATGTCTTTAATTTTATTGAAATTCAGTTTTTATAAAGAAAAATTTGTTTTTAAATTACATATAAAGAATAAAGATTCAAATATATAATCTGTAATCTAAATCTACAAAAGTAGTTAAGGCTTACCTAGATTTGGGTTTGAGTAATAATATAAGAGAGAAGTATATAATATTTAATTTATTAGATTAATTTTAGTAATAATTTGTGATATTGAAATAGGAAGTAAAGGTAAACTATAAGAAGAACTATAAATTAAGTTAACAGAAAGTGTGATTTGAGATTGTGTAGAATGTGAAATATAATATAAAATTCATATTTGTTTGTATATTTGTTAGTTTAAATAAAAAAAAGTTCAATAAAAAGAGTAGTAATAGTATAATAAGAAATAGAAATATTATGAATAGTAAAAATAAGATTATTAGAAACTAAATTAGATAAAATGAAATAAGAAAAGATATATATAAAAAGTTATATAGTTTAAAACTATTAAATATAAGAATTTTAGTATATAAATTAAAAACAAGATTAATAAATATATCAAAAGTAATTTTATTTAATATATTATTAAAAGAATTAGAAATTAAGTAATAAATTATTTAGGTTAAAAGACAAATAATCTAATAAAGTAAAGAACTAGTTTGGTTGCATTGATGATAGAAGAAAAAAAAAAAGAGTTAAGTTTGTAAAGAGTATAAAGAACAAAAAGTTCATCTATAAAATTTTAATTTAGAAGATTTTTAAAATAGATAAGTAAAAGATCAATGGTCTCTCTCTCCTGACCACTTGCGTTTAGGGTTAAGAGTAATTTAGAAGAGACAAAATTAACCTATCTAAGAGTTTTTTTCTTTTTAAAAACAGTATCAGAACAGGAGCACCTCCTCTTGTTCCTAAGAAATGTAGTACTTCTACTATTAAAGCTCACAAATACAAAAGAACTAAGTTAATTAACTATACCAACATGGAAAAACTTACCACTCTTAACAAAAAAGATTCTCACTCTAAAGTAAATATTACAATAGCAAGCAGTAATCCAACTGCTTTAGAAACTTCTGCACAACAAAATATCAATAATAATAGCATACTTAATTGGGACGAACAAGTCTTACTAGAAAATACAGAAAGTTTCTCAGAAAGAAGAGAAAACCAAAACAATGAACTAGATGTGTCTGCTTATGAAATATGTAATGAAGAACCTAATAACAATAAAAGCCTAGTTCTAATAACAACAATACATGTTAACCTATATGTGATGTTCTTAACAAACTTGAGTTCAACTAAAGTAAACAAAAGCAAAGAAACCTTAAACAGAACCTGGACTAGTCTCTTTGCTAAAGTCAAAAGAGGACAGTCAACCTTTTCTTCTTTCTCACCAAGAAATAATATAAAATCAAGAAATAATAATGCTCTTATTTTAGATATTCAATATCTAACTGGCTTACTAAACAAAATTATGATCTCGCTTCATGAAACTGCAGGATGTAATATAATTGCAGCTAAGCCATACATCAATAGGGGTACATGTACTCACTTGGAATTAGTTTTCTTAAACAAAGAAAAACTGAAGCATTATGCTTTCAAAGGAATACAAATCTTTAACAAAACATATTATGGCTATATTTCCTCTGATGCAAGAAGATCCTTTCTTCCAATTAAACTCAGGAATGTCCCATTAGGTGATAAAGACATTATCTCAGAAGAAATCAGAGAAACCTTTGATAATATAGACAAAATTGCCTCAATTAAACCTCTTTTAATTGAGGGCACATCATATTTAACAGATCAATGAATTATTATATTTGAAACTACTGACAATCTAGGACTAGAAGAAAGAATTCCACATTTCTATATTTTTATGAATAACAAAATTACCACAGAATGGCATTTAGTACCAAAACTTTGCTTCTTCTGTGATGAAAAAGGACATATTAAAAAGGAATGCTCTCAATATGTACAAGCAATTAAACTCTAGCTACAGTATAAAAAGTTTAATGCAAATAAGAAAAAAAGCAAAACTACTTCTTTTGAAAGAGAAGAAGAAAGTTCCAGAACACAAGAACAAGAAATTCCTACAGAAGACATAAACATGAATATAAATCAAACTAAAGAAATCTCTTCAGACAATGCAGAAGAGATAATGAATTTTGAAGAAGTTGAAAAAAAGATTATAGAAAACCTAGCAACAATGGAAGAAGATCTAGAAGTTTCCTACAATGAAACTTTAAGTGATGCTGACAAAGAAAACCTTCCTATCAACAATACCTCTAGCACTATTATTACAGAATCAGAAAAACCTTAAGCTCTAAACTCTCACTTGGTGCTAATTACAAATGACATCAACTTGCAATCCCATTTCAACAATGCTGAGAAGGAATTTACAGTGGTCTCATATAAAAGAAAAAAAGATAAAAAAGCTTCTACAAAACAAAAGCCTAAGCCAATCAGAAAGGCTCCATACAGGAATCCTCATAATGGAGTACAGAACTCCAAAATCTAAATCTGTATTACTACTCAATTTTTTTTCATAACCAATCACATCAAATTTAAAATGGCAACTCTTAATGTAAAAGGGTTAAACAATCAACAAAAACAACAAAACACTCTAACTTTTTTAAAATCATACAAACTAGACCTAATCATATTACAAAAAACAAATCTAAATAACAAAAGCACTCAAAACTTTCTTAAAAACCAATGGATGTTTGACTCTATCTGAACAAACAAAACAGCTATACTTGCAGGCAACAGGGATATAACTTTTAAAAACATCAAATTAGATCTAAATAACAGGATAATCACTACTAACTTTAAGTACAAAGAGCTCATATTTCAAGTCTCTAACATATACACTTCATCAAGCCCAGAAGACAGGAAACTCTTTTTTGGAAAATGGTCTTTTTGCATTAAAGAAAATGCTATTAATATTATCGGAAATGACTTTAATACTAATCTCTATCCAGAAAGAGATAGAATTAGTAAGGCAGCTCAACAATAGAACACTACAAAAACACAACTTCAAGATCTTACCAAAAATTTTTTTGATTCCTCTAACTTTGCAAAGACAATACCTTTCTATACCTTTTTTCAAAAAACTCAAAACAATTGTACTATGGCTACATATTTGAACTATATCTTCATTAATGAAAACAATGCTTATCTAATCTCAGAAGTTAGTACAAAATTTGGAAACTCTGACCATTTGCTGATCGAGTGCACTCTAAACTTTAACTCTAAAGAAAAAGAAGCTGCCCTTTGAAGGTTTAACAAAAACTGCTTTAAGAATAAAAGACTTAAAAAAAAAATATTAGATGAAATATCAGATATAGAAAATACAGAAGATTGGAACTTTTATAAAGTACAAATACAATCTATTATTAGAGCCTTTAGAAAACCAAGAGCAATAGAAAACAGAATTACAAAACTAAATAAAAACATTATTCAACTAAAAAAAAGACTAGCATATAATCCTGAAAACAACTATCTATACTTACAAATTGATATGCTAAAC